GGTCCAGAAATTTAAATTTCACGCGCCTGCCGCAAATGGAACCGAGACCTGTCAGGGCCCAGGACCCCCCTTAAGCCCCTGCCCTAAATCTCTAATACTTGAGGATCCTACGGAAGTATGTCAGTTCACAAGATCCTAAACCCTAACGCTAACACCCTAAACCTTTTTGACCCTAAGCGCTAAAGACAAAGGCCTCAAAAAGAATCGGGCGCCAGCCAGAGTCTCAAATAAAGTATTCTTGGGGAGCCCAGAGTCTAATTTCTTGTAAAGGCTGGGCCGTAGGGTGTAGGGGTTTGGGGTTTGGTATGGTAATATAGAGGGACATGTAGGGATATGTAGGGGAAATCTAACAACATAGCGCGCAGGGTGCAGGATTTAGGGTTTCGCGCTGGGTTTTGCCTTAGGATTGGGGTCAGGCTTGGTACCTCAGGCTTGGTACCTAGGGCTCCAAATGGCAAAGAAGCATGGAAACTGAAACGGAAACTGGGATTGTACAGGCGTTAGCTAGCAGCTAGCGATTTCTGTAAGGAAGTTACCATCGTGAGGATGCATAGCACAAGATACGGTTTGCTTCAAATGGTAGTTTACACAGCAACACGCGGAGTTTGGATGTTCAGGATGTTAGTAGCTGAGTAGATAGCCTTGAACCCGAGCTGAGGATGTTAGTAGCAGATAGCCTTGAACCGAGCTGAGGGTTCGGAGTCTAGGATTTAGGGTTTGGTAATTAATGCATGTTGTGCATAGAGTGTCCCACGCGAATACGCTAGGGGCACTCAACGGACAAGGAAGCGCTTGAACCTTTTGGAGTCTTTTCAATCCCTGTCCCTAACTCCTGAACCCTAATAGGTCCTAGCCATTAAGCCCTAAACACTAAGCTTTAAACCCAGAGCTTTAACTTAGAGTTCGTAGTTTAAGGTTGAGGGTTGAGTTGGGGGCTGTGGACTAAGGATTCCGGAGTTGGGATTTAGGGTTTAGGGTTCAGGGTTTGGGGTTTAGGGTTTAGGGTTTAGAATCTTCTGACTTGGGGGAGTTGCGGGCCTATTATATACCGATGGTTGCTTTGTACGTGAGGGATTTTGATTGCTGATGACCAGTGGATCTGTGTTGGCGGCGGGTCCATGAGATAAATAGGTGTTTATTGAATGCTGCTACAGGCGAGTGCTGCGAAAGAGAGCTGCGCGCGCAGCAGCCAGCACCACCAAAACCTGATGTAGGTCAGAGTTGCCAAGAGGGGTGCAGTATGATTGAGTTTGAGGCTTTGTGCGAATGTGGAGTCCATCTGCCGAATGCAGTTGCCGCCGCAGGAAGAAAACCACCACATCAGTTTCGACTCTCTAGGATTCCTTTTCAGGACTTGGATTTGATGATTTGAGGATAAAAATAACTTCCTGAACGAATACCAGCCTTATTCCTGGGTTGGCCTTTGGGATACTTGAATATTTTCCATAATTGGTTTCCTAAGGAAACCCTAAACCCTAAACCTAAACCATACTAATATTTTTCAAAGGGCTCCAAAGGCCAACGAAGATTCCCTATTGTAATCCGTATATGGGGGTTTCCCAAAATTAGGGGTCCCTTTTTGGAGGTCCCCATAATAAGGACTGTAGTATTTTGGGGTCTATAGTGGGTTCCCCCTATTCAGGGAAATTACCATATAGTTACAGCAAGTACAGCAGGCCCAAGCCCGATTCCACTCCTTCCGGCTTCTCAACCCTACTAAACCCTAAGCCCTAAACCGCGTTCAGTTGAGTCCATCCCGCCGCCACTAACAGTTAGATAAGGGCTCCTGCCTCTTAATTCGCATTACAAAATGAGCGCAAGAACATAAGCCCAGCTGGGCTTATTTTCTCGTGCTCATTTTTGTGGTTCGGATTATGGTCCTTGTGGTCACTGTAGTGCAACAAAACTTCTCCGGCACCGAAATCCAAAGCACAAAAATGAACACAAGGAAACAAGCTCAGTTGGGCCTATTTTAGTGTGCTCATTTTTGTGCTTCGGTTTCTGATCCTTGTGGTCACTGTTAGCGCAACAAAAACTACTCCAGTACTACTCCGGTACAACTCCAGACCCGAAGCACAAAAATGAGCACAAGAAAAGAAGCTGAGTTGGGCTCATTTTCTCGTGCTCGTTTTTGTGCTGCGGATTGTGATCCTTGTGTTCACTGCTAGGGCAACAAAACTTCTCCGGCACCAAAATCCGAAGCACAATAATGAGCACAAGAAAATAAGCTCAGTTTGGCTTATTTGCTCGTGTTCATTTTTGTGGTTCGGATTGTGGTCACTGTTAGTGTAACAAAGATTTACACAAGCGTTCAGCCTAGACTCCAGTTTAGGAGCCTTTCAAGGCATAGGGGACTTGGAGTTAAGCACGCTGAGTCATGGCATTTGGCTTTGAGTTGACGTGCAAGAACAGCCTCCTGCTCTGAACCCTAACGCTGAAACCCTAAACCCTAAACTTATAAACTTGTTCTTAGTAAGGAAGAAGGGAATATCTTATGTAGGGAGTCTACAGGGATTGTAGTCCCCTTTTCCCTACTAAGAACCAGTAGGCAAATCTTGGGGGGAGGGGTTTAACTAAAGCCCCCCAGCGTTTTGAGATCAACGCCTGAATCTGCCCGCGTAAGTACCGCTCTAAACACGAGCCATACATCCGCTGATTTGAACGAGAAGTTCATACTCCCTAACCTTACCTTATCAAACCCACCCCTGAAGCCTAAACCCTAAAACCCCAACCCTCAGAAAAAAACACCTCAGGTAAGAGCGGGACCAAATACAGCCCGATCACCGTGTACACCCGGCAGTCCTTCAGGGATTCGTCTGTTTCAAAAGGTTTTCCGGAATGTTATGTGTTCTTTTGAGGTTGTTCAGGGACGAGTTCGGGTGAAGGGTTTGGGGATATTCTCCCCAACAATGCAGACTCAAGTCTGAAAAGAAGATGGGACATGAAATGCAAACTGGGCCTATTCCGGCGTTGAGAGGGAGAATTTTCAATACGGGGAATGGAGAATCAAATGGAAAAATAAGGGAACGTGAACTGGAAGCTGGGTACAGGAGGTGTTACGGAATGCGTCATGTAGAGGCCTCAATACTTTCAATATTTTGATCCTAGGCTCCTTTTATAGTCATTGGAAGAGGGTACCTCAAATAGACATCAAATTAGCATTGCTACTTCTTTCGGCCCCAATGTAAGTGATTCCTAATAGGATGCGTGTAAAGCTTTCACACAATGCGTCCAAATTAACGAGGGGTAAGCCTGCGAGAGTTTTCAAAACAACCCCATAAATATTAATAATAATAGTAGCACTAGAAATAGTAATCATCGTACAAATAGGAACAATAACAATAGCAATGGTAGGTACACTAGTAACAATAGTAATAGTAGCAATAGTCATATTTGTAATAATAGTCACAATAGTGTAACATTCCTACGTCATGCTGAAACAGTCCCCCCCCCCAATACTTGCCTTGCAGTCCGAAGAGTATCCCTAGCGGCCCTGAGGAGCCAATGTTCTTCCCTTCTCCTCCTTATCTAGCTACAGCAAAGTAATTGCGTTCCAAATTCCTGGTCTTTAAGTCTAGTTACTTAGGGCCCTACATACAACCCCTATCAAAACCCATATTGACAGTCTATTTATTTAGGGCCCTACATACACAATCCATATCAAGTCCTATATATAGACCCAATTTCCATTTCCTTTCCATGTTCTGTTTAGTCTGATTCTCCACTCTACTAAGCATTTAGGCGCTTGCTATATGCCTGAACCCCGAACCCCATACAACCGACCCTTTATGTGGAATCCTATGCATCACCCCTGTTTTGAGAAGCCCTTGTATAATTTTAAATCTGAGAGAGCATGGCTTGGCCGGAAGTGCGACAGAACATGCATCCCCTTAGGTGATCCCCCTTCAAGGGTTCAAGTTTTAGTGGTTAGGATTCAAGTTTTGGGGCTCTCGATTTAGGGTGTAGGGTTTAAGTTTTAGGGCTCAGGGTTCAGGGTGTAGGGTTCAGGGCTTGGGGTCTAGGGTTCAGGGATTAGGGTTTAGGGTTCAGCGTTTGGGGCTTCAGGTTTGGGTTAAGGGTTTAGGGCCCACTGCTACTGCAGACAAGGGATAACGGTAGTTGTATCAGGACCTATATCTATGTATAGGCATACATAGTTTGATACATGTATACAGTTATGTATTCATGTATTTATTTATTTGTTTGTTTATCTTATTTGTTTGGCTATGTATTTATTCCGATTATACCACCACTGGTATGTGGGGCACCACACGTCATCTATGCACGCTTTCCACAGCCCGTATGCCACTCGCAGGGCACGCGGGAAAGCATTCTATAATCATTTTGTGAGCTGTGTATGCCTCTAGACACTTGGGTTTCCACTGTATCGGGAACCCTGCCCCCAAGCCCTGAGCCGCAACCCGTCAGCCCTTAACCCAAGCCCCCAGCCCTAAATTCCAAACAGCCGCGCGATTTTAGGCTTGGGGAAGAAGCCCAATTGCTTACAAACTAGCCAAAGCAGCTTTCAATTATAAACCTTAGGCTCTCAACTAAATCGAAACCAACGCTTTGAATGTGCCTCTGCTAAACCCAGCTTCCATTTCATTTTGCACTCTCTTTTCCGTTGGATGATTAATAGGGGAAATCCCTATACGCCCTACATAACCCTCTATACAATACTATGCCCAAAGAAATCCAGAATATTATCCCAATACCTATCCTCGAACCCTAAACCCTAATCCGTGAACCCTATATAGCAGTTTCCATTTTCCATTCCCCTACATATCCCTTGCACAATCCCTATTACCGTACATATCCGTATATCGCCCCAATTTCTGAGCCCCGCAACATGAGGCCATTAACCCATACCTTGCACTCTAAACCCTAGATCTATATATATATATGTATATATATATATACATATGTATATACTACATATGTACGTATATACAGTTACAGCCAGACCTCAGTGCCTCCCATCCGCCAGGTCTTACCAGGATTGCCACATGACGTTTCGGCCATGGGACCCTGAGTCGTGTGCATTGGCTGTGGCTTGACAGAATCTGCATCCTAGGCAGCCTTGCGGATTATCAACCCTAAGAGTCCAAGGACCCAAATGTAAGGGTTTAACAGCCCAAATACTATAACATTAATGGTATTTTGGCCCTAAGGCCCTATTATTTGGGTCCTTGGACCCTCAGGGTCAACATAATCAGATTACCACAAGGACTCTGCATCGTAATTTTCATACTGATTTGAAAAGAAATGGTAATATCTCCCGAAACAGGGAGGACCCCCAATATAGAACCCTCTATATTATAACCCGTATTATGGGACCTCCAAATGTTACGCCAACTTTAGGAAACCCCAAGCCCTGAAGCCTAACCCTAAACGCCAACCCCCAACCCCAAACCCGCAATCCCACAATCTCAAACCCGAGCCCTGGGGATCCTTTAGCCCACCTACCTGGAATGGGTTTAGGGTTTAGGGTTTAGGGTTTAGGGTTAACCCGAAATTCTAAAGCCTAAAAATGTGTGGCCCAGGCAGCCATCCATAACCGGATCATTCATTTTCCCATCAGACCGAAGACTGTGGTTTTCGCCTTGGGATGCTCCCTTCAGACGGGACCTCAGATGGGATATAGTCTAAACTCCTTAAAGCAGGGTTAGGTTTATTAAGGTTCAGGGTATCTAAACTCCTTAAAGCAGGGTTATATAGGGGATTATATAGGGGAGTACTATAGGGGTTATTAAGGGGGATACTAGGAGTTTAGACTATTGCTCAGATGGGCTCCTTTAACCGGGTTGCTGTTAAAGAGTTTGATTTAAGCTACCATAATGGGTATATAAAATCGAGAAAAGGGTTCCCTTTTTATAGTAGCTTAAAGTAAGTTCCGCAACAGCAACCCAGCTAAAGGGGATATAGGGATAATTTTGGGCGGTTTTAAGTTCTCATGGGTCTCTTTACGGTTTAGGGTTTAGGGAAGGTTTAGGGGTCCCTTTAAATGGGGTATGAGGATTATTTTCGGGGTTGTAAAGAGATATATTGAGACGAAAACCGATATGAACTAGGGGTTAAGGTTTTCGGGGTTAGCATTTAGCGTTTGGGGTTCGGGGTTAGGGTCCGTTTTGACGAGGCTATGGGGATTTTTTTGGGGGTTATACAGGGATGTATAGGGGCGATTACCAGTATAGGGGTTTAGGGCGTCCGGTTTAGCGTTTGAGGTTTGGGGTTTAGGGTTTAGGGTCCGGTTTAAGGGGACATAGAGATTTGTTTTGGCGGGTTATACATGGATGTAGGGACAATTACCAGTATGATTTAGGTTTAGGGATTCTTTGGGGTTATGGAGGGATATGCAGGAATGACTGCCGATGTGATTGAGTGCTTCTGGTTCAGCACTTGGGGTTTTGGGGTTTTGGGCTTAGCGTTTGGGGTTTAAGGGTTTGGCGTTTATAGTGTCTGTGGTTCCATAAAGGACGCTTGGAGCTTGGGGTTCGAAAGATGACCGCTTCTATTTCCTGCTTTTTCTCAAGAGTCCCGAAAGACCTGACATCCCCTTGGCCGAGGGTTTGGGGTTGGTTTAAGACTTGGGGTTTAGGGTCGAGGGAGACCTGTTGTTAAGGGTTATTTAGGGAGTATATCTTGCATTTGGTAGAATCGTTCATATACCTTTGGAGGTCCATGGTAATTGGTATCTACCTGAAACTGACAGTCATAACTCTTCAAGTTGAGATAGTTGACGTCAGTCCAGTCCAGGTAGGTTCGCGTATAGCATGTTTGCTGTGACGGCGCTATTGCCTGAGTCCTTCGTCAGGTTGTTTGTGGGTCTAGGGTTTAGGGATTTGATGATGAAGAATGTGAGGATGCCCTGCACTGAATTCTTGACTATGCCATAAAACCTGAGCCCGAGCTATGGCTTCAATCAAGAAAATCTGAACCCTAGGATGGCAAAAAGACTAACGTAGCCCCCACAAACTGCAACCTTTTCGCCAAAATTCTGAACCCTGGGCTCCTGGTAGGGACATCTATATATGAGCTGCCAAGTATCAATCCTGAATTGTGAAGCCTATAAAGCCTAGGTTAGGATAGGGTTTTACCCTAAACCCCATGCCCTAAACCGTAAACCCTAAACCTCTTCCCAACCTCAGCAGTGCTTGGGCGCAAGTCCTAGTTCTCGTTACTGGTCCAAAGTGGCTTGGAAACCCCCAAAGGGTTTAGGGCGTATAAGGTTTACTGTAGGTGTTAGGGTTTAGGGGGATATATAACTCCAATAATGCAGAATCAAATGGAAAAGAAAATTGAAAATGAAATGGAAACTGGGATTACAGGGTAGTTTATAGGGACTAGGGCTTAACATCAGCTATAGTCTTAACTCCTTCAAGGGGATTATGTGAGGGTTTACATCGGGGACTATTATAGGGGTTATCAAAGGGGACCCTCGGAGTTTAGACTAGCTCATATAGACTCGGAGAGGGCGAATGTAATGGTTGTCCCAGCTTCCTACAACGGTGTACAGTATGTATAGTCAGCCCCTTAGCCACACAACCTAAAGCCCGAAAAGCCTTCACCCTACTCCCTAAACCCCGAACACCCTCGAACCCCTAAACCATAAACCCTAAACCCCTAAACTGTTTTATAGTCAACCAGGAGCTTGAATAAAGGTTTGGGTTGCCATAGGGTTTAGAGACTTACCTAGTTTTCCCACATGAAGGTTTCTAGGCAGACTTATGGTGTAGGGATTGTTTAGGGTTCTCCTTCTCCTCCGATAACTCCTATTTGCGGCCTCAGAACCCCATTACTAAGTAGACTTACTGAGTCAGGCTCAATTCACGCAGGCGTATTTGGCTCCTTGAGCCCTCCTACCCGAGCCCAAAGCCTAAAACCTAAACCCTAAACCCCCCTAAGCCCTAGAACCCTAAACCCTAAACCCCCCTAAACCCTAAAACCCCAAAACCCTAAACCCCCCTAAACCCCCCTAAACCCCCCTAAACCCCCCTAAACCCCCCTAAACCCTAAAACCCCGAAACCCTAACACCCCCCCAACCTCCGTCATGAGCCTTAGAGTCTGGACCTTGACACCCCCGTTTTTTGCACGAATTCGCCATTTGAGCTATAGTCTAAACTCCTTAAAGGGGGGTTATATAGGGGATTATATAGGGGACTACTATAGGGGTTACTAAGGGGTATACTAGGAGTTTAGACCATAGCTCATTTCACATATTACCATCCGGTTGTTCTGGATTGTAGTCCTGTCTGGGTTTAGGGTTTAGGGTTTAGGGTTTTAGGGTTTAGGGGGGGTTTAGGGTTTTAGGTTGAGGGGGGTTTAGGGTTTAGGGTTGAGTCCTGTCTGCCTGTTGATCCCATCATCCGGAAACCTACACCTGAAATCCTATACACTCCCTTAAGTATGGGGTATATGGGGATCTTATTGAGATATTGAGCAAATCCCACTACAGGGGGACTATAAAACCCGAAGCACGTGTGCTTGAGGACGCTGAGCCACATTTCGGCGCCTTGGTAAAACAGGATCGGTTCGTGAACTTCGCCTACACCCCTCATGGAACTCTTCTGTACTATATCTCATTCAACAGTCAGTCATAGCTGCGTAGGCCCTTTGGCTTGCAGGGGATGTATGGATCTGGTGAGATCAGTGTGCTTGGTATCCTTTTTTCGGGGTTGCTGTTAAGGAACTTAAGTTAAGTTACCATAACGGGCATTTATTGTAAAGAAATAGGGTTTCCCCAATTTAGCAACTTATATTGAATTCCTTATGTGGGAGCTTGACTCAGATGTGCGGCACATTCTGTTCAGGAGGCCTTACCTGAACCCCAATAAGGTATATAATGTAATGGCCTTTTGGGCTGTTTTTTTTGTTGGATTTTGGGCTGTTATTTTACCTACTTTTGGGGCTCAGGTATTACCGCCGGCTGCCCTGATTCCACAATGTTGGAGAGAGCTTCTGGCACCCTAACAATCGTATACTTACCCCAAACCTTTATGCATTTGAATTGGTCTCGTTTCCATTTTATTTTTACCCTAAACCCAAGTACCCACTTCTTGGGTACATGGACCCTCTATGGTTACTTCCTTGGTCCACTTACCAGCATCAGACCCTACCCGCTGCGCTTGTAGGTCTTCCTCATGTAGAGATTCCAAGGTGCACTTTTCAGGTAGCTTCTGGGAAGGTGGCGTTTAGGGTTTAGGGGTCCTGCCCAAGTCCAAATAACAAGGAGATGCCTGAACCGCCAATCTTTACTGTACAGATTTCCACAAGGTGAGCCATATTCTGGGTTTCCCCCATTGACAGCAGCCCAGAAAGCCCGCCAGACCAACCCATGCCCAGTTTTAAAAGTGTAGGGTTGAAGGAACATGATTTGCCCTGACCCCAAGCCCCCAAACTCACATGGTGGGAGCCAATATAACCAGCGAAGAGCCCACGATCAGATTCGTAGAGACAGTAAACCTAAAACTTGGGTACTGCCCCCCCCTTCAGAAGCAGTTGGATAATAAGTATAATATGGGTATATATAGCCCTTAATAGGACCCCGAATATATACTGTTACTGGGTGGGGGCAGTACCCAAAGTAAACCTAAAACCTTGGACGACGCATCTGCCTAAATCTTCACGGATCCATGCTGTGCCCCTCCAGAATTTGCTGTAGAACATACAGTAGAGGTTAGGTGGACCCCCACCCAGTAATAGTGATTATAAGGACTGGTAAAGATTATATTGGGGTCCTCTTATATTCCTATTATACCACTATTACAGGGTGGGGGGTCCTCCTATAGTAGAGGCCTGATGGGCTTCAGTAAGCCCTTGTGCAAATATTTTGTGGCCGTACTTGAACTCCTTTGCATGGCTCTGACTGCAATGCGTGAAAAGACACAGGAGCGTCAGTCGATTTTGGTAGCCCCACCCCGCCAAACTAGAACCTCATAATTCATATTTTTGTCACATGGATATAACCGGTTCCTCAAAACCCCTACACTTCCAGAGCGTTGCGTCCCCAGCCCTAAATCCCAAGCCCTAACACCCCAAAGCCAGAATCTTAGACCCTAAACCCTAAACCCCAAACCCCTGAACCCCTAACTCCTAAACCCCTAACCCCTAAACCCTAGAACCCTTATAAAGCCAACCACAAACCCTCAACTCAAAGACTTTAAGTTTGTACCCTTAATGTTTGTAACCTTAGGTTTTGGGTCCCAAATACCCTTATTAAGGGCCATATTCCATGGTTTAGGGGCCCAGAACCCAAGGGTACAAACCCTAAGGGTAGAAAGGACAACTCCCTGATCAACCCTAAACCCTAAACCCTAAACCCTAAACCCTAACCCAAAGGGTTGACCTAAGGACACCCTCGGTCCAAAAGGGCGGCTGATTGGAGTGCCTTGGGCGCATGGAGAGCCGGGATGAGCCATGGTTTAGGGAGTTTAGGGATTTAGGGCTTAAGGATTAAGGGGGTTTAGGGATTAAGGATTTAGGGTTTAGGGTTTAGGGATTAAGGGGGTTTAGGGGTTTAGGGATTTAGGGCTTAAGGATTTAGGATTTGGGGTTTAGGGTTTAGGGTTTAGGGTTTAGGATTGTTGAATGAAAAACCAATGTTAAAAAGGGTTTTGGTTTAGGCTATAGGGTCTAGGGTTTAGGTTTGTTGAATGGAAAACCCAGGGTAAAGAGGTTTCGGGTTTTGGGCTTGGGTTAATGACTCAGTTTTTTTGGGGCTTAGCGGGTTTAGCGTAGGACTTTATTGATCACGGTTTGGTTAAGGGTTTGGGAGAGTTTTAAGGGTATAGGGTGCAGGGGCAAGGGCAGTTAGATCTTCCTTGATCAGAGTACGAATCGAGTCTAGGCAAGCGCTTAGCCCCTCGACCCTAAACCGAAAGCCCTTCAATCTAGAGACCTAGTTGCCAGGAAAACTCGAAACTATGCGCAGGCTAGGGAGATTTCTGATGGGTCCTGTTTAGCGTTCCTGCAACCCTACGAGAAGGGTGCTGTACCTCAGCCCTAAACCCCAAATCCTAAGCCCCAAACTCTCATCAGACCCCACGCCCCAGGCCCTAAACCCCGTAGTATGGCTTCAAACCCTAAACCCGAAACCGTAAACCCAAACCCTCAACCCCGAGCTCAGCACCACGCGGTTTAGGGTTTAGGGTTTAGGGTTTAGGGAAAACCAACACAATCCAAGAAAGCTGCATCGGAACTCCCTAAAATGACATCATCCCTGGAAGTTTTGCCTGCGGGTACAAGCAAGCAAAGCTTGGGGTTTAGGGTTTAAGCTTCAGGGTTGAGGGTGTACCTAGACCCCAAAAGCATTCAAAAATAATAGCCCTAAACCCCCATAATAGCAGCCATAAAGGCCATTATTTTACATACTTTTGGGGTCCAATAACCTACAGTTTAGTAGTAAGTACTCTTTAATTCGTAGGTATAACCCATAAAACTGTAGGTTACTGGAGTTACAGGTAGGGTCTAGGGCTCCGTCCGCATGGTCGACGGCTGCTCGCGGAGGAGAAGACCCTAAACCCTAAACCCTAAACCCTAAACGTCACCTCTGAGGCAGTCGCAAGGAAAGGCCAAAGCCAAAAAAAAAAGAGCAGCAGCATACATGGGTGGTTGTCAACATTTCCTAGGGTTATATAAGGGTTATATAAGGGTTATACAGATTAGGGTACCTATTACCCCCAATAATGGAGAATCAAATGGAAAAGAAAATGGAAAATGACATGGAAACTGGGAGTATATAGGGTAGTTTACAGGGGTTATATAGGGATCATGGAAAAGAAAATAGAAACTACTATATTAAAATGGGGTATATACTGGGGTTATATGGGTGGTTGTCAA